AAGACGAAAATGGGAGACGATTAACTTTTGTTTTATTTATCTTTATTGGGTTATTTCAGCAGATTCAAGTTTGGGTTTAGTTTTATTTTGTTATGGGCTATATTTTAGTATGCGGTAATGGGCTTAGTAAATTGTAAGGGTTTAGGCCCATTTGAGAAGCATTTGTAATGCGTTTCTGTGAACATGAAAGTAAGAAGAATATCATTTTCCAATTACTTTCTCTCTCTTCCGATTCTCTTTCTCTCTCTATTCTCTCATGTTCATCTTCTTCACATTTTCTATATTTCCTTTCTAAAATTACAGAAAAATATCTCAAAAAATATAAAAAATACTACAGCCCACAACATTACCCCTTAAAATTCTATACACAATTGCTATAATAATAATAATAATAATAATAATAATAATAATTCCAGTGTAATTTTATATAATTAATTGTTTATATTCAGTCAAGATTGCAAAAAGTACATTATTGTAATCAATATAAAATTTCACATGTAAGTTAAATATTTATATCCATATCGGTCAATTTTAGATAAATTTATAAAATGTTATAAACTCATTATCTAATTTATGACTTTAAATATTACATATATACAATATAACCTATAAAATTTTATTTGTGCACACGATTGAAAACTATTTGATTATTAAAATCCTAGATATTCTTCAATAATTCCAATGAATATATCTCAATTTGATTTGACCAAACTCTCAAAATAAAACATTGGATATTGCATATTGTATATCAATTTAGTCCACAGATTTCATCAACATTTGACCACCAAGCTTTTAAATATACAATATTCCCAATGTTCATTGCCGTATCTTTGCCGAACGACCGGCGTCGTATCAAGATTCCGGCGACCGCCCCACCCATCTCTCTGTTCTCCGGGATCGAACGGAGACATCCTCTCTCTGAAGGTGATTATTTCTTTCTTTCTTTCTTTCTTTCTTCTGTTAAGCACTCGTATATATGTGTTTGTGTATCTTGTTAACTCTTTTCAGTTGGCATTGTACCTGTTCGACAAAATGTCCCACCGACGATTTCATTAGAATAGTAATGAGTTTTTCTTATTCGATGACAGAATCTAGATAAGCTTGTTGTTCTTAGCATTTTAGTTCGTTTTGAATTTTGTGTAGTGTGTTGGATTATTATTATTACACAAATTATTGTAAGAGGCAGCCTAACGGTTTGGTGGGTCGACCTATCATACTATGTGAATCGAAATGCATACTTATACTATCGAATATCATAATTATATGTTTATGTTGTTCTTTAAAGTACGATATTTTTTAATGGAAGTTTGCATATTTGTGATAAAAGTATGTCGGGCTAATGATTATCCCTGCCTAGTAGATCACCTATTGTTACTATTATTGTTAAAAGGATTCAGTTTATATTGAAATATGGGGGGTGTTTGCTTATGTATTTATTCATCTTATGCAGAGAATGTGGGTGATGTTTCTTTTACCTAGAAACATGAAGAGTGTGGGAACGCGAAAATCGAAAGGGACAATCTATTCAAGCACTATATAAACACATAAATTCCATGTCACAAAATTTAATCTAAATATTGGGGCATCATAAAAGCATCCGGTCTCGCTATCTCAGGTGTCCTTCGGTTCACACGTCTCGACGTTTTATTTCCATGATCACAATATAAAGTAATGGGACCTTGCTTGGGTCAATTTTTGGGACATCCTCGGTTAAGGCTTTAAGGTTTCAAACTTAATTGTGAAGTCTCACCTCTTGAATTGTCCTTCCTGGAATTGTCGACACGATTCTTTCCCAACAGGCGGGATCGCTGTTGTAGAGTGTTAGAGCACTCTCGAATTCTTTATCCTCTTCTGTGGTCCACTCAGAATTATTGCATTCGTTCTTGAATATAATGTCCTCCACCCAGGTATGAACCTGGAAATTGAGTTTGTGTCCATTGATTAAGCGGGAAAGTTTCTCCAAACACGATACGATTTTAAAAAAAAAGACGCTCCCACATCAATGAATTTTCATCCCCATTGAATCAGGCTCTTGAAGTGGTCGAGCAACTTATGGAAAGGCAAACACGCCAGAATAATGGGAGGAATACAAACATCACTTGAGGATTTAATGCTCGAAGAGAGGTAATCCCCGTTTTCTATGAGTACTTGCGTTTATTGTTTTATTGTGCCTATGAGGGAGATGGACGAAATAAGCAGGTGCTTTAATATTTAATTACTGTGTTTCCATAACAATATTGCGCA